TTTCGCACACGCTACGGGAGTTACAAATTTACACTGATGCCTTTCGGCCTCACGAACGCGCCTTCGACTTTTCAACTGACCATGAACAGGGTTTTTCAGGATTTTCTAGATCGGTGTGTCATCGTCTACTTGGACGATATCCTCATCTTTAGCAAGACACGGGAGCAGCACCTCCGTGACCTTGATGAAGTGTTTAAAAGGTTGCAGGAAAACTGACTCATCACCAAGGGCTCTAAGTGCGAGTTTTTTTAGCAGGAGTTGGAGTTTTTGGGGCACGTAATCTCGCGCGACGACATTAAAATCGACCCGGTGAAAATCAAGACCATACAGGAGTGGAAGTCCCCGACGAACGTCACGGAACTCCAGAGTTTTCTCGGAATCGTGAATTACGTCCAGCGTTTTATCCCGAATATGGCGGGGATAACCGGCCCACTGACCGACCTGCTGCACAAGGACAAAACATTTGTGTGGGGGGAGGAGGCAGAAGCGGCTTTCCAGGAACTCAAGAATTTTCTCATTTCCCCTCCTGTACTGCGCATTGCCGACCCATCGAAGTCGTTCGAAGTTGTAACCGACGCCTCAGATTTCGCCATCGGAGCTGTGCTTCTCCAAGACTTCGGGAACGGATTGCAGCCGATAGCCTACGAATCACGCAAGCTGCAGGCAGCCGAACGCAACTATCCGATTCACGACAAGGAGATGCTCGCCATCATACACGCGTTTAAATTATGGCGATGCTACCTGGTAGGCGCGGACCTCACTGTTCGCACGGACCATAAATCCCTGCAGTACCTGCGAGCCCAACCCAACCTCAACCCACGACAGATTAGGTGGCTGGATTACATGGAGAGCCAATTCACCTACCGCATCACGTACAAGAAAGGGGCGAATAACATCGCCGACGCCCTAACCCGGCCGACAGTACAATCCGTGTAAACATAAGAACGAGAATGGGATGAACTATGAATCAAGTGGGTACAAGTACTAACCCTAATTGGGCTGTACCCCCTATGGGATACCCCACTACAGCCTACACAAAAGTATAAGCTATTTAATGTTCTGACACACCCCCATAGGCAAAGTGGGGGAGAACAAGGGGTCACAAGACCAGTCAAGCAAAGCAAAGCAAGCTCAGGGTGAATCACAAAGTCACCACACAGTCCGAGCACAAGGTCAAGGCCACAAGGCCAGTTCACCTGCAGGAGGAGACATATATATATAAGGCTAAACAAGCAAGAGTAGGTATATATATATGTAAGAGTACAAGCAAGGTCAAGAGGTGAGCAAGTGAGGCAAAACTGGGACAAGTCCCAGCTGAGTGCAGAAACGCTGATGATCACAAGGCGGAAGTGCCTTGGTGAAAACATCAGCAGTGTTGGCCTCAGAGACCACGTACGCAAGTCGCAACCGACCACGCTGCTGCAGCTCACAAGCAAGAAAGTAACGGAGAGCAGTGTGCTTCGTTCTGTGCTCCAAGCGCTGCTCTCGACACAAGGCCAGCATGGCCTTGTTGTCTACGTACAGCACTCGAGGAGAACGAGGCGGCTCTCCAAGGTCAGTCAGCAGGTAGGTGAGCCAGCGAAGCTCCTGTGCAGCCATGGCCCCGGCGTAGATCTCAGCCTCACAACTGGAGCCGAGAACAGAAGACGAGCGAGTAGCCCGCCACGAGACAGAGCCGGAACCAAGACTGAAGGTGTAACCCTGCGACGACCGCTGCGTAGCCTGGTCGTCAGCCCAAGAAGCGTCCGCGTGCCCAGTGAGGACCACTGGACTCCGCCCTCCAAGCACTAGCCCCATGCCTGACGTACTGCACAAGTAGCGCAACACCCTCTTCGCTGCAGCCATGTGCTCTGGTCGGTGTCTCCCAGGAGCAACATAGCGTGCAAGAATGCTCAGAGGGTATGCAAGGTCAGGTCGTGTGCAGGTCATCAGGTACATGAGGCAGCCAACAAGCTCTGGGTACGGGCCACTCGACTCTACGGACTCATCCGAAGGCAGAGCTGAGAGCGAGTGGCGAGTAGACAGAGGAGTGGCCTGAGGCGAGGAGTACGTGAAGCCGAAGCGCTGAAGGACCTGCTGCACCATGTGTGACTGAGTCAAGGTAATGGTGCGGCGTGCTCTGTCCCGGGTGATCTGCAAGCCAAGGTAGCTGCGCAGTTCACCCAGGTCTGTGCACGTGTGTCTCTTCTGCAGCTCAAACTTCACGTGGGCGAGTCCAGCAGTGTCAGCTGTGGCAAAGACCAAGTCGTCGACGTACACGAGGATGTAGAACGGCGGCAGAGAGGTGTCGGTGCGCAGAAACAACGACGGGTCAGTAGTAGAGGGAGCAAACCCAAGAGCCGCAAGCGTAGTCCTCAGCGTGTCGTGCCACTCGCGCGGTGCCTGGCGGAGACGGTAGACTGGCCGTCGGAGGCTCCACTGGGTGCCAGGAGGGAAAGTCCCGGTGAAGCCAGGTGGACGGCGTAGCCAGATCTCCTCGAGCAGGCTACCCTGCAGGAAAGCAGTGCTGAAGTCAAGGGAGTGAAGCTTGTAGTCACGCTGCGCGGCTATGTGCAGTAGCACCCGAAGAGTCGTCATCTTCGGGGTGGGAGAAAAGGTCTGAAAGTAGTCAACTCCCTGCCGTTGACTGAAGCCACGAGCCACATACCGCGCCTTGAAGACAGATGGAGAGCCCGGCCGCCGCTTCACCCTGAAGATCCACATGCCACTGACGATGTTCGCCCCAGGAGGGGGAACCGCGTCAACGTAGGTGCCTGTGGACTTCGAGGAAGCCATCTCTGCATCCATAGCTGCCTGCCACTGAGAAGAGTAGGGACCCTCTACGGCCTCCGCGTAAGAGCGCGGAGTCGGGATGTCAAGTGCATCCGGGTCTCCCTCAGGGGTAAGCAGTACAGACGTTAGATAAGGTGAAGCAGCAGCCAGACACTGGAACTCCTCCTGCCTGTCCTCAAAGACGTCCGTGCCAAGAGCACACTCACCCCCGACGGACGGAGGACAGACAGACGCAGACTCAGCAACAAGACTAGCAGCGTAGTCTAGGCGACAGCGGGCAGCAAAGTCGACGAGCTCATTAACCAGTGCAAACGCAGCAGTGGACTCAAAAGAGGGGTCAGTGACGACAGTAGCAAGAAGACGCGTGACAGTAGGACTGGCAGCACGAAGAGAGTCCGACTCCGGGTCGGCAAGTGCAGGAAGAGAGGACTCAGGAGGAGAAAACTAAGGGGAACGCAGAGGAGCACTGGACGGAAGCAGAGTCATCCGGTGCGTGCCAGGGACAGGAGGAGGACGCTGACGCGAACCGCGACCACTAGCGCGAGCAGCACGAACAGGCGACGCAGGACGAGACGCAGGCTCACGACGCTCAGCAAGACCTCCAGTAGGACCAACAGCAGTAGCCTCAGTGCCAACACCCTCCGCAGGACTAGCACCAGTCGTACCCGCAGGTACAACAGCTCTAGCACCCTCAGCAGCCGAAGAAACTCCAGCTCCAGCAGTACGCCTCCAGCGCCGGGCAAACCACTCGCGCAGCTCCTGTGGAGAGAGTGGCTCCCGCCGAGACGAAGCACCCAGAGAACCACCAGGCCCAGCACCACCAGACGGCACACGAGTAGGTCCAGCGGCCGCGGGCTCCGCACCCCCAGGCTCAGAAGCTCCAGACTCAGCACCCCCAGGCTCAGCAGCTCCAGACTCAGCACCCCCAGGCTCAACAGCTCCAGACGCAGCACCTCCAGGCTCAGCAGCTCCAGACGCAGGACTCCCAGGCTCAGCACCCCCAGGCGTTGCACCCCTAGGCTCAGCACCCCCAGTCGCAGCACCCGCAGACCCAGCACCCCCAAGCGCAGCACCCGCAGCAGTACCAGAGTCACCAGCAACCTCGACCGGCTCGACTGCGTCTACTTGGGACACACCTGAAGGGGCACGACCCTGAGGGGGTAGGGGGTCTACCGGGGGGGGACCTGGTACCAGGAAGTGCGGAGGCGGGGGGAGGGACGGAGTGCAGTAGGGGAAGAGGCGGTAGAAGGGGACGGACTCGTCGAACGTGACGTCCTGAGAGGACAGAACACGACGAGAGGCGGGGTGGTAGAACTGCCACCCTGGTGCGTCAGGGGGGAAGCCAAGGAAGACACAGGGAGCAGCACGAGGGGACAGCTTGTCCGCAGACAAGTCGCGGACAAACGCCCGAGATCCCCAGACACGGAACGCAGACGCATCGCCGACCTTCCCCGTCCACAGCAAGGCTGGGGAGGTCTCCGGCCGGGAGACCCGGGGGTGAAGGTTGAGCTGATGCGCCGCGTACCGAACCGCAAACGGCCACAGAAAATGGGGGGCAGCCGCATGCATCATGGACGTACGAGCGACGTCCATGACCATGCCAATGCTGCGCTCAGCAATCCCATTTTGCTGCGGGGAGTCCGGAAGCGTAAAGGTCTGGCGGATGCCTCGTGCACGACAGTAGGCTCGCAGAAGTCCAGAGGAGAACTCCCCACCTCGGTCAGAGTGCAGACGCAGAACAGGAAAGTCCGAGCCGAAGCTCCTCCTGAGCTGGAGACGAGCTGCGCGGATCCAGTCGATCAACACCTCAGTGACATCACCCTTGCTGCGCAAGGGGAAGACAGTGGTGTAACGCGAGTAGTCGTCAACCACCAGCAGGAAGTAGCGCTCGTGACCCTGACCACGGACGCGGGCCGGGCCCCACACGTCCATGTGAAGCGTCTGCAGAGGAGCCTCTGTCGGGGGAAACTGGGAGGAGTGAGGGGCAGCCCGGAGCCGCCCCTCGACACAGGGGACACAGGAAGGTCCTGGCCCCGAAGGAAGGGGAGGGAGAGACCGAGGAAGACCAGAGACAAGGACACGGGAGGCCATGCCCCTAAGCCGAGGCAAGGAGGGGTGGCCCAGACGGTGGTGCCACAGGAGAGTCTCGTGAGACAGGAGGCGACACGAGCAGGGGGCAGACTCAGGACCAGACCTGGACGCAGCAGCAAACACCTGACCCGACGCAGCTACCTGGCCAGACGCAGGGACAAGAGGAGACGCAGTGGTCAGGGTGTAGAGACTCGACCTCGGCCGACGCGAAAACGTGGCCAGGTGTCGGCCTGTGCGGGCGTCCGAGCAGTGGGTCACCCGCTGACTCGCAGGAGTAAACTGGTGAACCCCCGCATCCTGCAGGTCAGCACCACTCACCAAGTTCGTCGAGAACGAGGGGAGGTACAGACCAGACAGGGTGCCCGAGGGGGCAGCCAGACACGGGAGGACAGTGGAGAAGTGAGAGAGGACAGGACCCCCAGAGGGGTTCGCCAGGGAGACTGCAACCGGCCGACCAAGCGGCGTGAGTGTGGTGCGGTCTCGAAAGAAGGAGCGAGAAGCCCCGGAGTCAAGTGTGAAGGTGAGGGAGGCCGAAGCCGACGCAGTACAGGAGAGCGCAGCCTCACCAGTACCTGAGAGCGCAGACGCACTGGCACCTAGAGCAGCAGCCTCACAAGCACCTAGCGCAGCAGTACCAATGCCCGGGTTGGGCGGGAAACACCGGTAACAGTCACCCTCATCACTAATAGTCACAGCATACATGGCAGCAAGGATAGCATCAAAGTGAAGATCAAAGATAGCTACGCCAGCCCTAGACAGGTCTCCCCAGCGGGGAATCTCACTAGCCTCGGGGAACTGCTGACGCCAAGCGTCCGTCAGGCGGCCAAAGCAGCGCTGAGTGGAGTGGGCACCCCCACCCTGCTCACCCGCCCGGTCGCCGGAACGGAGGACGTAGGTGCACGGACCAAAGCCCCCACCACGCTGACGCTGCGTGTACCACTCACGGAGCTGCTGAGGCGGGGGGATGTCCCGAGAACGCTGCTGCTGCTGCTGCTGCTGCTGGCGCTGACCACCACCAGAGCTGCTCCACTGCGGGGCACCACCCCGTCCAGCTCCACCCCCTCCGCCACCACCGCCTCCACCTCCGCCACCACCGCCGCCTCCGCCTCCGCCACCACCGCCCCCGCCACCGCCTCCGCCTCCGCTGCTGCCACCACCACCGCCACCCCCGCCACCACTCCCACCACCACCCCCACTCCCTCCGCCCGCTCCACCGCCACCTCCACCGCCCCCGCCAGCTCCACCCGCGCCCTTGCCCCCCTTGCCCTTGCCAGGGCGGCGTCTCCCGCTAGGGGCAGACGCCGTGCCAACCGACTCAAGACCAAGTAGGTCGGCAGCAGCAGCAGAGGCAACAGAGGGGAGCAGGGGGGAGGGAGAACACCCCTCAAAGATGGGGGTGCGAGGGTCACCACGAGAGGCTCCTACGGCGACTATGCTCTTCTCCGCCGCCAGGAGGGCCTTCTCGAGGAGGTCGACAGTGAGAGTGGTGGGACAGACTGAGAGGAAGTGGTCCCTGACTACGCGAAGGGAGTCAGGGAGGCGTGTGACTATGTAATAGAGAGCGATGTACATGGGGGGGGGGGGTTCTTGGTGCAGAACTCAGCAGGAAGCGCGGCGCGGTAGCGGGTGTCACTAGTGCGGAGGTGCGTAACTAGGTCAGCGACTGGGGGAAAGGCAGCAAGGTCAGGAAAGAGGTACGGTAGCATGAGGCGGCTAAGGTCAGGAAAGAGGTACGGTAGCATGAGGCGGCTTAGTGCAACAGTGGCAGGGGAAGAGTAGCGTGCGACTACAGCATCGTACAAGGTCTGAGCACTCTTGTACTGACAAAAGTGCGCACGCTCAGTGGTAGGCAGGTGGCGACGCACAGCAAGACGTGCAGCAGCATCGCGGGTGGCCCACTGAGAGCGAACAGTGGGGTCAGCATCAGCAGCAGGGGCAGGAGAGGCGCCAGAGGTGAGGTCAAAGAGAGAAAGACCGTCCGCCCTATCGCACTGTAAAATCAGCTGCAGGTCGTCGACCCAGACCTCAAAGTCAATGGCCCGACCCTTAGCGTCGAAAGCGAGAACACTAGGGGTAGCCATGACGACAGACTAGCAGTGCAAGCAGTAGAAGAAGGGCACGCAGTGACAGTGGGGCTGTGCTCACCGTACAGGACAGGTCGGGTGGCTCGGCAGTAGGGCGGCTCGGCTGCGGGGCGGCTCGGCGGCTGGGCGGCTCGGCGGCTCGACTGCTCGGCGGCTCGGCGGCAGGCGGCTGGGCGGCTCGGCTGCACTGCAGCTCGGCGGCTTGGCGGCTGGCGGCTGGGCGGCTCGGTGGCACTGCGGCTCGGCGGCTCGGCTGCACGGCGGCTCGGCGACTCGGCGGCTCGGCGGCTCAGCTGCTTGGCGGGTCGGCTGCACGGCGGCGGGGCCGGTGAGGTAGGCGGCAGGGCCGCGATTGGTAGGCGGCGGGGCCGGTAAGGTAGGGCGGTGGGGCCGCGAAGGTAGGCGGCGGGGCCACGAAGGTAGGCGGCGGGGCCGGTACGGTAGGCGGCGGGGCCACGAAGGTAGGCGGCGGGGCCACGAAGGTAGGCGGCGGGGCCGCGAAGGTAGGTTGCGGGGCCGCGACCGTAGGTGGCGGGGCCGCGAAGGTAGGCGGCGGGGCCGCGAAGGTAGGTGGCGGGGCCGCGTAAGGTAGGTGGCGGGGCCACGTAAGGTAGGCGGCGGGGCCACAAAGGTAGGTGGCGGGGCCGCGTAAGGTAGGGCGGCGGGGCCGCGAAGGTAGGTGGCGGGGCCGCAACCGTAGGTGGCGGGGCCGCGAAGGTAGGCGGCGGGGCCACGTAAGGTAGGGCGGCGGGGCCGCAAAGGTAGGTGGCGGGGCCGCAACCGTAGGTAGCGGGGCCGTAACCGTAGGTGGCGGGGCCGCGAAGGTAGGTGGCGGGGCCGCGTAAGGTAGGGCGGCGGGGCCGCGAAGGTAGGCGGCGGGGCCGCAAGGGTAGGTGGCGGGGCCGCGAAGTGGGGCGGCGGGGCCGCGAAGGTAGGCGGCGGGGCCGCTAGGGCGGCTCGACGCGACCTGTAGGGGCGGCGTGACGGGCCGCTAGGGGCGACACGGAGGGTCGCTAAAAAAAAAAGAGAGCGCGACTCGAGGCGCGCTTCGGTGGGCTTTAGGAACAGTCCCTAGGAGGGGACCTGCTCTGATTCCATGTAAAAATAAGAACAAGAATGGGATGAACTATGAATCAAGTGGGTACAAGTACTAACCCTAATTGGGTTGTACCCCCTATGGGATACCCCACTACAGCCTACACAAAAGTATAAGCTATATAATGTTCTGACAATCCGCTGCAGTACTCATCACCCATTCGAACCAGCTACTTACAGGACTATTCACCCACAGCTACACTACGGACCCATTCTTTACGACCGGGAATCATCAGCAGGCCACGACGCAGAAAGGGGATTATTACCTAAAAGCCGGAACCGACCGGATTTGGGTTCCCGCTTACCGGCTGCTGCGTGAACTTCTCATCCAGGAGGTCCACGATTCGAATTTCTCCGGACACTTCGGGGTTGATAAAACCCAGAAATTACTGCACCGTCTGTAATATTTGCCTGACTCCTCTAACGACGTACAGCGATATGTGTCCTCATGCAGGGTGTGCGGAGCTATGAAATCGACATGTCAACGACCAGCTGGGCTGCTGCAACCCCTCGAGCCACCCGAACGACCGTGGCAGCAAGTGACGATGGATTTCGTCACGGGGATGCCAGCTGGGCCGTCCGGCAATGACGCTGTTCTCATCGTCGTCAATCGCTTCACGAAAATGGCGCACTTTGCACCATGCCGAACGACAATTACAGCCGAAGAAACCGCGCGACTTTTCATTTCCACGCTCGTGCGACTGCACGGCATCCCCTCGGCGATCATCAGAGACCGAGACCCGCGATTCACATCCAAGTTCTGGAAGGAGACGTGGGAAAAGTACGGCACAAAGCTACAGTTCTCAACGGCATATCACCCACAGACGGACGGTCAAACAGAGCGGACCAATCAGACCATGGAGCAGCTAATTAGAACAAACTGCCCCAACCCGGCCCGCTGGGAGGATTCACTCGCAATGTTGGAGTTTGCCTTCAACAACGCGCCGTCCAGCACGACTAATCACTCCCCGTTTTTCCTGAATTACGGGATGCACCCGACGGTTCCTACCGCAACTTCTCTCGACAACCCGGTCCCGAGGTCACAAACTTTTGTGACGGAACTCCAGGAAACCCGAGAGAAAGCCGCCGACGCAATTCGCAAGGCGAATATCACTTCCCGCAAATACGCAGATCTTCTACGCCGACAACTCGTCTTGACCACTGGGCAATTAGTGCTCCTTGACACGAAGAACCTGCACCTGCCCGGCCCGTCAAAACTACGGCCACGATTTTGTGGGCCGTTCAAGATTATCAAGATGGTGACACCTGTCACCGCGAAGCTGTTGCTACCCGACGACTGGCGGATTCATGACGCCTTCCACGTCACCCTTCTTCGCAAGTTCGTGCCAGCCACGACCAACATCGCCCATCAGCAAGCTGCCCCGACAGCACGACCTGTTCCGGAGCCGACCCTTGACCCTTCGAAAATCCTGGCTCATCGGGTCCGCCTTCACGCAGGTGGCCGACACGTGGATTTCTTAATCCGATGGACTGACCGCACCAGTGAGGACGACACGTGGGTGCCATCCGCCTCGCTCGACGCCTCGCCACTTGTTGGTGATTACTTGGCGCGCAAGCGTGTTTCGGACATTGATCGCCTTTCTTAAGGGGGGGGTGGTGTAAGGAATTTTCCCGAATTCCTTATCGGGGTTGACTGCTTCACGTACAACCCGATTTTCAGAGTTCGCACGTTCGGCCGATTTCAACGCTGCCGAGGCTCCTCGCGTCGCCTTCGGCATTTCCATCGCCAAACCTGCACCCAACCTCATCTCCCGAGGTTTCCTCCTAGCCAGGCTAGCCCTACATTAGTATGTGCATTCATTGTATTCTCAGTTCATTCAGTCACGGTCTCATTATTCGTTTACCTGCGCACTCTCTTTTACAACTCATAACAAACTTTCTGTTTGCAACCTGGGTTGGAAAGCAACATGTTTCTTCAACTTTGAGATTCAGTTTGAAGCCCTCTACTGCTGTTTTCTTGACTTCTAAGTCACGTCCTCACCACGACTAAGTCTAAGAGCACAACCCCGTGCCCTACACTGTAGTGCACTCCCATTGTGTAGTGACTCTCCGTATCATTTTGTAATGCAACTTAACTAGTGGAAATTCTTGCCGATTTCTTCCGCGAATGTGCAAGTGCTAAGGAACTAAGCAAAGCTACGATCACTCCTAGTGTTTGTGCCAATATTCCGTAATCTACTTCATGACTATTGTAGAGTGACTCTCCGCAATGCCAGCATGCCGCTCTTCATGTCCGCAACTTGCCTCACCACCTCGTTGAAGGCCACCTCGTCCATCCGCCTTAAGCTAAGTAATAGTGAAACTGGTTATATCGTGTTACGAGGTGCCTTTTTCAGGTATGATTGCGAGACCAATGAATCCAACATGAACCGCGTTGTAATTTGAACATTTGCGACAAATCGTACCACCAGTCACAAGTGGACTTGTTGGGTTCGGAAGTTACTTTTTGTCAAAATATGATTGCAGGTAGTCTGTAATGAATATGAATTCATTACTGTAGAGGCTGTTCCTAGCGAGGACAACCCCGAGCACTTTGCGTCAGTTTCGAGGTTCGGCCTACACTTCGGACCGAACCACCGACGAGTCGCTCCGCACCAATCGCGACACTTCCAACCCATCCACGTCCCGAGGTCCTCGCCTAGCACGGTTTCGACCCTATAAATGCTTGCTTCTTTATCATTCTCGACATTCTGGATTCGACATCCTTTTTATAAAGTCTTCCGCGCACTCTTCTTAGTACAACTCATAACACCTGGTATCAGAGCCTAAGTTCCTAGGTTCCCCGTTTTCTAGAGTGTATTATCCCTCGGGGGGGGGGGGGGGGGGGGGGCGGACAGGGAAGGATGCCGTGGTGATAGGAGCAGCGCAGTAGTCGGCCAGGAGAACGGATAGTTGCTCCTAGCGGCCATTTTTTTACGGGCGCTCCTACTGCACCAACGGATCCTTGCCCTCAATGGTCGAGATAATTTGTGTGGCAGCTGACGTCGACACGATCTCCATCAGTGCACGTCCGAAGATGTCGGAAGCAAGATCGTCGTGCGAGTTGCGTCGGCATGTGGTCGACAACTGCGCGCGACAATTTCGGAACGGATTGCATGCAGCACGTGGCGTCGAGCATCTTCGTCACATCGCGCATCAGTCCGTTGGAGGTCTTCCGCAAGTGACGATCGTGGTCACTGTGCGCGAAGATTTCGGGTAGCAGCACGTGGAAAACAACTGCTGTGTGAGCAGCTAGGCGCATGGTGATTTGCGTCAGAAAATGCAGCGGCGCGGAGTGACGGCGTGACAACTACCCAAAGAAAGCGGGGGTCTACCGTCGTTCCAGCCCGGGTGTGGCCGGTGTGGCTACAGGAGGGTGCGTCATTGGCGTTTTCGGCAGGAGCAGCACAGTGTGGGACGGAAGATATTTTCAAACTGCCGAAAAGTTCGGAAAAGGCCGCCTACGACTAGACTGTTTTCGTTAGGGTCACTTCTGCGCCTGCAACAAAGTCGGCCGAAATCTTCAGAGCAACAGCAGCAGCCGACAATGTACTTGAGGCGGCACAGTTTCCCCCTGATCAAGGGAAGTTGTGTCGCAGACGGGGCAGTACACCGACGAGGACAACGATTTGCGCAAACGTCTAGACGTCTAGACCCACGAATTTCGCCGGGTCTACCAGCTACAATAAACGGAGTTGCGACAAATTCGGGTCTGGCGAGAGAAACGGATTCCGAGCTTCAGGAGGGGAGAAAACGACATATCGCGACGACTTTTTGCTGAGGCCGAGATTTGCGGCTAAGCAGCGGTAGCAGAAGGAGCTCCCTACCGGCCAAAGTCTACCGACGTTTCACATACCTCACGCCCAGAAGGCCTCGAAGGCAAGGTGTAAGTCCTATAGGCCACTGGATCCAAAGGTGGGGCCCTGTGTTTAGCCCTGTGCTGGTTAGAAAGGCGCGGGTGACGCTGGTTCGACGGCAGGGCGTACAGAAAAAATTTCTTGGAGCGACACTGTTTCGGCCCCGACAAAACCGGACCATCGGCAGCAGTTACCCCACCGAAAAAGTCGGAGCTGAAGGAGTTGGTGCAGCTGTCGCAGTTTCTCCTAGTTCAACGGTCTACCCGATGGCGGTGTATCGGCGAAGCAGGGGTTTTCGAAGTTGTGGAGCTTTAAACGCGATAGACGCGGTGGGCAACGAAGCGGCTGGTCCGACTGTTTGATCCGATAAACATGACCCGGTTACGATAGCATTCCCGCCTTCACCGATGTCAGAAAAATCGCGGGCAACACGGAGTTAAACCTCATCCGACAAAAGCGGACGCTGGGTGAACGGCGGCAAGGGAAATTGCCGGGGGGTGAAGACAAAAAAAAAAAAACAAATGGAGGGAAATTTGTGGGTGCTCCAGCAGATCTCTAGAGTGAAAGGTTGAGTCCGTACACCAATCCACCGCGAATTTCGGAGTCTATTCGATAGACCCCCGAAAGGGTTTGATATTGTTACATGGAGGCGCGGCGAGCGGTGTATCGCCAAGGATACCTGGGATTCGCTAAGAAATTTTGACGGGTACGAAGACGGGTGAACGTCGGAGTATCAGGGTCAACGGCGGAAACGTCGGGGTTATGCGGCGGAAAATACTTCGGGACTGCTTCAACAACCATGATTTTCGGGGTTTTATTCCAATGGTGGGAGACGGGTGAACGTCTGCTCGCCAGCTGTTTCAGCGGTTTACGGTGTACTTCGAAGCCAGCTGGGGAACTTCTACGGCAAGATCTGCGGCGTTGATGCGGGCTAGGTTCTGTGAAATTCGGTCCCGGTAGACCCATGACTCCGGGTTCCGCACGAAAGAGCACCTCCTGTTGGTGGGTTGCTAGTGTGGTTAACCATGGAGAGAAAAATGGCGACGGGTGGGCACGCTAGACACACCGGTTCTTTCGGGGGGCAACCTGCAGGCGACCAAGACTTTACGTGGTGTGGAAATTTCCGACATTTACGGGTGCAACGAGCAGTTCCGAAAAGAGTTTTTAACGGAGTCAGCGCGGTCGCTGACAGTATCCGTGCCGACGGCCGACTGCAGCGTTGCTTGATTAAGCGCGCGAAGGCACTCGTCGTCAGAGTGTGTAGCCGTTCAAATCGGAAGCTGCTTGGGGGTACCAGCCGCAACACGAGGGAAAATTTTGCAACAGGTGGGGGGAGAAGGCGACAGCTGTTTTCGCCTCTGCCCGGGGAGTCACGACAACACCGATAATGCAGCTGACGTCATCGGCAGTTCAAGTTCGTGTTTGAAAAAATATTGGCGAGGTCTGGGGGAAGAGCAGGAGCTGTTTTCGTCCCTGCCCGGGAGTTTTCGGAGCAACGCAACAAGGGCCTCGGCGAGCCTGGACAAATCTGCCGGGGGCACCGACAGCTGGAGAAGCTACAGCGAGGATTTTCGCCTGCAAATAAGACAAACGGCAGCAATTTCAGGATTGCAGCAGCTGCCAACTAGAGATTGGGCAGCAGACAAGTGATTCGATACTGCCACGTGGGGGTTTTCGAGGTGGCAGTCACGAGAGATGCTGCAGCAACAGTCGTGACAACAAGACAACACGAGGAAATTCTTCATGCCGAGTTCCTGCAAAAACGATATTATTTCGAAGGGACTTCAACAGAATTTACCCTTGGCATTTTCGGGATTTTTTACAGTGAGATTTCGCCACCGACATCAATTTCGACTGCACAGCGGCTGAATTTCAGGCGGCTAGGTCATAACACTTGGTATTCTGCGTCAGGGTGGTTGAGGTTTTGTGCCCGCGCAGCTGTGCACATTTTGGTGGGCAGCAGTTCCCAGGGGGGGGAGAAAGAGTGCTCACGCACTGTTCTTGGCAGGTCTCTGACATTTCAGCAGTTATTGCTGACAGTTCGTCTTACACACCCAGCAAGACAGACGCACGCGATGGCTTTATCGACATCGACGGCACCAGATTCATCGATCTCTGACAACGCGTCAGACTTTCCGCCGACATGACATTCACCAGAACCATCAGATACACATCCGCGACATCGACGGTCTTCCTTCGTCGAACGATTTGAGATCGACATTCGCTTTCAACCGCCCAATTGACATCGGCAGTATCAACGGCTGACATCCCAACTCTTTGAAATTCGCCTGGTCAACGCGCTCAGCCACGCGTCAACTCGAAAGTCAACATGCTTCCGCACCGTCAGATCGGTTTTCGACCAAGATCTGCAGTTTTCACGCTACTGCAAGACTCGGCTTCGTATAAGGGCACCTTATTTAGAAGGTGGGAGAGTGTAATGAATATGAATTCATTACTGTAGAGGCTGTTCCTAGCGAGGACAACCCCGAGCACTTCGCGTCAGTTTCGAGGTTCGGCCTACACTTCGGACCGAACCACCGACGAGTCGCTCCGCACCAATCGCGACACTTCCAAACCATCCACGTCCCGAGGTCCTCGCCTAGCACGGTTTCGACCCTATAAATGCTTTCTTCTTTATCATTCTCGACATTCTGGATTCGACATCCTTTTTATGAAGTCTTCCGCGCACTCTTCTTAGTACAACTCATAACACAGTCCCTGCCGTGCTGGACGCTTTTGTAACCGTTTCGCCTTCAACTCTGGCAGAAACTGTTTCTGCTACTGTGTAGTAGTGACTCGTTAGGAAGTTAGGAAGTTCCGCGCGAGGGATTGCGTCGCCTGCTACATAATCTCACCACTCATGGTTGGAGTAGGCCAACCCTGCTACATACTAGTACATGACTGGAAGCTGCCACAAAAGCCGACAAGAATCGCATTCCAGCCAATCAGCGGAACACGTTCCTTGCCGTGATGTTATCGCTCACCGCCAAAGCACTGCAACGCAGCGCATCATGGGGGGGAGCCTCTACCTTCGCCAACAACGGCTCACAAATGTTCCCCCCTCCGTTCTATGATAATGTTTCTGATTCCCCCTTACCGCTACTAGTTGTACTAGTAGTAACAACACCGCCGACGCCCGTCCGCAATACTAGGGATCTAGGTTGCGCCGTCGCATTTTTGTCACCGCAGAACGCGTTACTACATCTGCAAAATCGTCTGACCCCACCTAGTAGTTGACTTGACTTCGTCCGCGGCGAGTCCGGCTTGCGGTTGAGAGCTGTGGCTGCGGCGCAGGTTTGAGTCAACTGGCAAAAAAAGGAACAGTCTTTCTCTCTCTGCGATGGACGGCGGCGCGAGCTTAGGGCTCGGCTCGCAGCTCTTCCTTCTCACCCTGCTGGCGTCTTCCGTGTCTCCCGTCCGCTGTGTTACCCTCGCCAACTCCCAAGGTTCGTTTCACACGAAGGTCAGGGCTTAAAGTCAGGGCTATCCAGTTCGGCTACAGGTCGCTACTAGGGTTTGTAGGGTGATAGTACGGCCATACAACAAAAGACGCCACAGGCGCCGCGGCAGGACGCGATGACAAAAGTTCCAGAGCCATTGGGTCCTCAGTATCATACGCGTTGGCCAGTTCAATGGGAGTCCTGCTGGATAAGCATTTGCTGGAGCAAGTTGCTCGAGAGCGAGAGATTACTGAAGTATTTGAGTCGGATATAGAATCGACCATTGCTGGAATATTGTACTAGTAGTCATTCGCAGAGCGTCTTCAGCATTCCGCCCATGCTCCTTTGACCCGTTCTTGTGGCGCCCTTCCTCACCCTTCCCTCCCTTCCCCTCCCGCCCTCCTCCTCAGTCTCCCCTTCCCTTTCTCCCATCCCCCCTCCCCCCCCCCCCTCTCTCTTTCCTCTCCCTTCCTTCTCTTCCCTCCCCTCTCTCCCACACACGGAGCTGGACCGCGGTGGCCTTTCAGCTTCAAGCTATGCGACTCTTCACTCCTAGCTTACCGCCGTGCCACGTCCCGACACATCCCCCGCTCACGCCGTGAACCTTTCACGAGCCTGGTGGCTTTTGAGTCGACTCAACTCGCGAACTTCACGGCTTGCCACATCACCTACTCCCGTCCCACTTCCAATTAACCCCCCCTCCCACTCTGGCTGGGCCCAGCTCTTGTGGACTTGCACGAGGAGGGGTGATCGATCCAATCACCCTCTCACCGCTCCCCTCGTCTACTCCTCCCTGCCACCTCCCTCCGTCTACGCCTCCCTCCACCTCCCTCCGTCTACCCCTCCCTCCACCTCCCTCCGTCTACCTCTCCCTCCCACCTCTGCCCCCAGCGCAAGCTCTTCTGAACTTGCAGAAGGAGGTGGGGCGCACTTTCAGCGGGTGGAAGGTGGGCGGCAACTGTAGCGCTATTCAGCGGCTCACCTGTGACGTGCAGGGCATGGTGACTGCCATGTGAGTCAAGGCATGGTGACTGCCATGTGAGTCAAGGCGTGTGATGTGAGTCTTGGCATGGTGACCGGCATGTGAGTCAAGACATGAAAATGTCAAGGCATGGTGATTGCCTTGTGAGTCAAGGCATGTTAGTGTCATGGCATGGCAACCGGCATGTGGGTCAAGGCATGGTTACTGCCATGTGGGTCAAGGCATGGTAACCAAGCCAACCTACCTACGGTCGTCCCTCTTTTGACGTGTTGCAATCCCCTTTCCTTCCCTCTCTCAGTTCCTTGGTATGGCCAACCGCTTCCTATCTCTCCTATTCACTCCCTACTATCTCTCTCTTCCGCTTCCTCTCCCTCCCTTCCCCCCGCCCACACCTTCCCCCACCCCATTCTGATCAGACTCCCCGTTTGTCTCGTTTTTTGCGTGTCTTTGTTCCTCCAACTTCCACAGAACAGAAGCTGTAACGTCTGTGCTGAATTTGCTGTGCCGCTCCGATAAGCTCTGAGCCAGCCTGAACATAACCACCTAATTCATGCGTCACTCAGTAGCTTGACACCGGTCCTCTGGCAATTGGTGACTTTATCTCCTCTTCCCCATCCCCTGCTCTGTCAGTGATCTGAGCATGAGCAACATATCGGGTCCATTCCCAACGTCAACCAGCGCTTTCAGCAGCCTCACAAAGCTGTTAGTACATGGCATGGTAGTTTGCATCACCATACCAAGCTGGGCGTTGATCGATCGATCCATCCATCCATCCATCCATGCGATTGTTGCCAGTTGATATTGCTGTTCGATGCATGCGAATGTTTGTCGATAACATAGCAAAGCAATGATGACGTGCTATGTATGCACAACGTGACAGGGCCAAGGACTGCAGTTTGTTTGGTTGGTACATTACTCAACCCTAAGGATAATCAATCATGTGTACCTCATGGGCCCATGTTGTGTGTGCATTTGTGTGTGTGTGTGTGTTGTGTGTGTTTGTGTGTGTGTGTGTGTGCGTGCGTATGTGCGCACACTTCCTGGATTTCTTTTGTATCCCGTCTATTTCAGAGAGATCTACGACAACAACCTGGATGGTCCGATCCCAGCATCGATATCCAAGCTTCAGCACATGAAATGGCTGTGAGCGTTTGACTGCAAGGCTGCCTGTTTTGCCGCATAATTGATAATTCCACCACCTCACAATATTGTCGCATTACATGAGATGTGGTTGGATTCTCCTGCTTTCGATACTGATGCGTCATAAGCATGAATCAAATTGAAGGTCTGTGAGAGTCCTTAGCAGAGATATCAACATCTCTTCTCTCTTCTTCCTAGTACCATGGTGTGCAAATACTTCCTGCCAGGGTTTTGAGTACTAACCCATTCACAGGGTCAATTCCATCTGCCATCTACAGCATGATAAGCCTCGAATACATGTCAGTGAACATGCGCACTTGCAGTGCTAAAAATTCCGAACTGCCATTCAATGTGGTGCTGTGCCGATCTCACATGTTTCAGCCCACGACCTCATCAGCTGTTTTTCATGGCTTTCACAATAGAATAATTTCTACTGTCTTGAACAGCTCGACCCTGTAGTGAACAGGAGTGTGAAAGATTTTGTTTTGCTGCCACAGAAGCACGTTGCAGGTTACTTTTGAGTTGACTGAAATGCCATAGAAGCTCGTGGCAGCGGAACCTCGTTTTGATCTTCTGTGTTGGTCTGTTCCATTTCTTCCCCTTGAAACCTGATTTCTCAAAACCTGGTCTGCGATACGCTGTGTCAGGCGTATAACCGAAACTGGGATTGAAGGACCGCTTTTGGCTTCCGTTGGCAACTTGATCCACCTAAATTACCTGTACGTTTTGAGTCGACTCAAAACCTGACACATTTATAATACTCTACCGTTTCACCATGTATTCGCAACACTCCTATGTGAAATGAGACGAGAAGTTTTTTCTGAAAAAGTTTAGGAACCTACTTATTCCTTTCAGTTTCTGTTGGCAGCTTGTCCATCCTAAAACACCTGTGATTGATATTAAATTGCTGGTGCGGCTCCAACTAATCCGCTCACAACTTGATCCACCTGAGATACCTGAACGTTTTGAGTCGTATGAAGTCACGCACATCAGCATGCATGCGTGACCAATGGTAGTCGTTGGAGAGGCGTGCGTAGGTCTTCTCAACACCAAAGTGGCTGCCGGTAACGGTGTCGTGGTATTCGGAGAGTAGCAGCTGTCGTAAGGAGCAATCTGCAGGGACACAAATGGTCTTGGTGACGGTGTTGTACCAAAATGGGTCTTCAAATGAGTAGGCCGGGTCCTCGGGTGCTTGCTTGACAAAAAACAGGTCACGTTTGTAGGCGCGCTGAAATTTCGTGATGAAGGTATCATCCCAAGTGATGCTGCTGATTCCATGGAGTTGCAAGGGTGGGTTCGGAGTGTGAGATGGAGGTGATGAGGTGGGGCTGGTTGGGGAGTGGTGGGGCTGGTTGGTGGTTGGTTTGGGCTGGTCGGTGGGTGGTGGGGCTGGTGGTGGTGGTCGGGACAAGATGTTGGCTGGGTTGAGTTTTCCGGGGCGGTAGATAATCTGAAGTGAGGGTACAAACTGCTCCAAAAACTCAGCCCATCGGGCTTGGCGGCGGCTGAGCACAGGCTGCGTTTTCAAGTGTTGAAGAGGGCGGTGGTCGGTGTAGACGGTGACGGGCTGCAGCTCCACGTAACAGCGCCATGTCTTGATTGCGTGGACAATGGCAAGGAGCTCCCGATCGTGTGTTGCGTAGTTGCGCTCTGCCGTTTGAAGCTTGCGTGACTCGAAAGCGAGTGGCTGCATCCCATGGCCGTGGTCTTGACAAAGAATGGCACCGACAGCGACATCGGAAGCATCAGTCCATTTGAAGTATGGGCGTGAAGGGTCGGCGACGGTGAGGACCGGTGCAGAGGTGAGTGCTGATTTGATTGAGTTGAAAGCAGTCTGCTTCGGTAGTCCCCATTGAAAGGCAGCTCCTTGACGGAGGAGATCGGTCAAAGGGGCGCAGATGTGAGAGAAGTTGAAAATGAATTTCTGGTAATACTTGGCGAGGCCGATGAAACTTTGCAGCTCCGCTACCGTGCGTGGGGCTGGCCAATCAGCAAGGCACTGGACCTTTGCGGGGTCCATAGCAATGCCTTTGGAGCTGATGACATGGCTGAGAAAGCCGATGCTTGAACAGGCGAAGGTGCACTTGGAGAGCTTGGCGTAGAGGCGGTGTTGGCGAAGCTTGTCGAGGACGATGCGTAGGTGCTGAGCGTGTTCCTCGAGTGAATTGCTGAAAATGAGGATGTCATCAAGGAACACGATGACAAAGCGGTCGAGGAAGGGCCGAAAAATGTCGTTCATGAGTCCCATGAACGTGGCTGGTGCGTTGGTGAGGCCGAACGGAAGTACGCGGAACTCGAAGTGACCGTAGCGGGTTCGAAACGCCATCTTGTTGATGTCGTCTTCGGCGAGCCGGATCTGGTGGTAACCGGAGCGTAGGTCGAGCTTGCTGAAAACTGTTGCTTCCCCAAGCATGTCGAACAACTCCTCGACACGGGGCAGCGGGTACTTATTCTTGATTGTGATGGCGTTGAGGGCGCGGTAGTCGATGCAAAGGCGCAGGTCACCTTCCTTCTTGCGGGTGAAAAGCACGGGGGCAGCGTATGGTGAGGTGCTTGGGCGGATGAAACCCTTCTCGAGAAGGTCATCGAGTTGACGACGGAGCTCCAAAAGTTCAGCGGCGCTCATGCGATAGGTTGGGCGCACGGGCGGTGTAGAACCTGAAATGAGGCGGATGCTATGGTCAATAGCACGCTCGGGTGGAAGTTCGGCGGGAAGATCTTCGGGGAAGACGTCGGTGTAGCCTTGGAGTAACTTCTGTATAGGTGATGGGAGAGAGTTGGGTGATGGTTCAAATTCGGGAGCGGTGAAGATGACTAGGAGATGATGAGGAGGAGGTGGTGATGGAGGGGTGGGGGCTGATGGATTGATAACTTCAGAGGCGGGGCGGATGATGGGACATCGTGGCTACTGGGTTGGGTGGGGTGGAGAATGAAGAGGTGTGTTGATCACTTCGGGGGAGCCGGGTGGTGTTGGCTGCTGCACGGGAGCTATGCAAGGAGGAGGGAGAGGGGGGATATGGGAAGATGGAGATAGGACAGGTTGGGGTGGATGGGTTGATGAAGCGGAACTGGTTGGGGATGATCATGGTCGGCGAAAGGAGTGGGATGGGAGGTCGTAGTTGCCGATGGTGACAGTTCCGTTGCGCCAATAAATCCGCGGTTCAAACTGGTGCAACCATGGTCGACCGATAACGCCTTCGTACCCGCCGAGGTGCAGTTGCTCGAATGTGACCGTCGCCTTCAAGCTTCCAAACATGCAATGCACAGGGAGGAGAGTAGGTCCGCAGTGCCGCCGAGTATCATCTGCCATGATCACGTCCTGCGGGTTGCTGTTGGGATCTTCGGGGAGAGAAAGTTCAGCAGCAATTGAGGGAGAGAGGAAATTTGCTGAAGCGCCGGTATCGAGCAAAAAATCAACGTAGCGATTCTTTATTTTTGCTTATAGAATGATGGCAGGGAATGGAGCATCGGATGTGGTGTAGAGTTCAGAGGTGCCGATGAATAATGGAGTCGGGAGAAGCGGGGCATGCGATGCGCCAGAGGTCTGCCCCACTGCTACTGGCGCTGTCCGTTTCCCGGAGACCTTTCAAAGTTGCGGCGGTTCGGGCAATGTCGCTTGATGTGGCCGACTTTCCCGCACGAGTAGCACGTAAGCGTGGACTGGTTGCGTGCACGCTGTTCCACCACACCGAGCTCCATGGGAGAAGGACCGTTGGTGCGGTAGGTAGGTCCAGCAGTGGTGTGCTGCCCGGTTCGTCCTTGGAATCACTGGTATGCTGTAAAGTTGATGGTGTCAAAACGCTCTGCGACATGAATCATCTCATCCAACGTCGTAGCGCCGCAGAGTTCGACCTCGGTTCGGATTTTCGGCTTCAGCCCACGCTTGAATTTGTC